TAGAATTAATAAACAAACTCTGTAGTATAGCAAGATATAAAATCAACAACCAAAAATGAGTAGTGTTCCTGTACACTAATAATGAGCTCACTGGAGAAACAAATTAGGAAAAGAATGCCATTCATAATAGCATCAAGAAAACTAAAATACTTGGAAATTGACATAACCAAGTAAATGAAAGACCCCTACAATGATAACTACAATACTCTGAAAGAGAGGATCAAAGAGGACATCAGAAAATGGAAAGAAAACCCCTGTTCCTGGATAGTCAGAAACAATATTGTCAAAATGGAAATACTTCAAAAACTGATAGATTTAGCATGATCCCACTCAAAGTACCAATATCATTCTCACACAACTAGAGAAAACAATTCTAAAATTCATTTGGAACAAGAGACCCAGAATATCAAAAGCAATCCTGAGCAACATGGGCAAGACAGGAGGCAACACAATTTCAGACTTCAAATTATATTACAAATCTACAGTGATTAAAAACAGCATGGTACTGGCACAAATCAGTAGAACAGAACAGAAGATGCAGAAACAACCACAGACACATTCAGCCACCTGATGTTTGACAAAGGGGCCGAAAACATGCTGGAGGAGACATTTCTTAAAAAATAATTCTAAGAAAACTGGTTATTCACACACAGAAGATGGCATCTAGACTCATATCTCTTATTATGTACTAAATGAAAATCAAAATGGATCAAATATCTAAATGGTAAAACAGAAACACTTAATGTGCTGCAAAATAAAATGAGTAAAACTCTTGAAGATGTAGGCATAGACAAGGATTTTCTGAACAGAACTGCAGTTACACAAGAAATAATACCAAGAATAAACAATGGATGCACATTGAGGTGACACTCTTAAGTGAAATGAATAGAACACTCATGTGTAAATACTGAATAGTTTCTCTGGTGTGAGAAACTGAAAGTGTAAATAAGGACTAAAAGGTATAATAGATAATGTGAAATAGGAAGAAAAGGGGCAAAGGGAACAGGGAAGTGGAAGAAGTAGGGGAAAGGAAAGAAGGGAATGGAATTAATATGAGAAAATGAAAAAATGGAAACAAAGTCTTTGTAAATAGGGAGGGATGGAGGGATTAAGGGGAGGGCAGGGGAAGGGGGAAAAATAAAAACCAAGAGAGATTATGTAAAGGTCCAAATTTCCAATGCTGAATGTCATTATACTGTATACCTAAAATGTACCAATAAAATAAAATTTAAATATTTTTTAAAAGAATAAATAATGAGATCATATCAAATTAAAACCTTCTGCACAGCAAAAGAAACAACCAACAGAGTGAAGAGACAACCTACAGAATTGGAAAAAATGTTACCAGCTATTCCTTAGACAGAGGACTAATATCTAGAATATATAAAAACTCAAAAAACTTAGATCCCCTAAAATAAAATACCTAATTTAAAAAATAGGCTACTGAAACAAATAGACACTTCTGAGAAGCACAAATGGCAAATATATACATGAAAAAATGTTCAGTATTTCTGGCCATTAGAGAAATACAAATTAAAACCACACTGAGATTAGATCTTACTCTAGAAATGGTGGTTATCTTCAAGAAATGAAATAATAATAAATGATAGGCTGTGGAGAGAAAAGGAACACTCTAACACTTTTGGTGGGAATCTAAATTAGTAAAACCACTATGGTAATCAGCATGGAGATTCTTCAAAAATTAAAACTAGAAATTCCATTCAACCCATGTATTTTCCTTTTAGATATCTTCCCCCACAGAGTTAAAGACATAGTATTACAGTGATACATACATACCCATGTTTGTACAAATACACAATAGCTAAATGTTGGAAGCAGCCTATATGTCCATCAAAAGATGAATGGATAAAGAAAATGTAATATTTACACACAATGGAGTACTACTCTGAGACAAAGAAAGATAAACTTGAGTCATCTGCTGGAAAATGGATGTACCATATGATAATAAGGTTAAGTGAAATAAATCAGATGCACACTCTTAAATATCACATGGCTTCTCTTATGTGAGAAATCCAAAATATAAAGAGCAAAATAAAGTATAGATAATAGGAAATAGGAAGATAGACCCTTTTGCAGATGAGGTTAAAACATTTTATCTTGGTTTCACCTCAGATTTTTCCTATATGCAAATTATATCTTACATTTTAGAAATTAGTGGAAATTATATCTTTACTGGAAATTATTATTGTTAGAAATGGTTTGTTCACACATTGCTTGTTTTTATTTCCATATATAACTCCAACATGAACTCCAGAAAAACACGTTTTTCATCTTGCTGGTGTTTCATGTAATATCCCTGCTATTTTAAATAAGAAATCCTTGGACTCAGAATTTTTAACTACTTCCAGTAAGTGATTCTATTTTTTCTAGATATTTATCCATAATAACATTTTCAGGTGTTAGTTAATGCAAGATTTTAAATATAACAATAGTATTACATGAGAATTTTACTATAAAACTAAAATAAAAATTATATGTAGCATAGTTTATTAAAAATAGTTACTAGCAAGAGACAGTATACAAGTAGACAATGGACAGATCATATATAAAAATGAAACTCTGACCCATTATCTGTTCACTCAGCCCAGAGAGCCAACACAATTACTACAACCACCAGTCCCAGACATCAAACATCAACCCTTGTAGCAATTGGCCACTAGTAGCCAGGACTTGATTGTCAACTTGATTGGTAGCTGATAACTTACCTAATATTCGCTACACATTTCCAACTTAAGACTAACCAGAGAAAAATGAATATATGCTACTAAGCAATCAAATAAGCACCTTGTGTTCTAGTCGGTCTTATAGATTTACCATGGTGATTCTCCACATGGGATCTACCATGTTCCCACCACATTGCCTGCCTTTGAGTCTCTGCCAAATGCAAATGATGGTGGATGACTTTCTTGCTACTGTAAGCTCTGAATGTACGGTCTTTGCATGTTCTCATTTGGATGGCGTTGTATGTTTCTACATTAATAAATGGATGTAGATATAGATATATAGTTCCAGCAGCAAATTCCAGTGTCTAATTACTACAGAGTTGTTTAAATCTTGGCCAAGTACAGCTAGTAAAAACATCTCAACAATCAGATTTTATGTATAGTGTTTATGTTCAAAGTCTTTATGTGTAATTAATGCATTGCTTGGGATACTGTAAGCCCTAATAGCAACAATATGTTTTCATTCTGTTTTAAACTGATATATAAATGTATTAAAATTGTGTTACACTGGGGATTTTGTTAAATAAGTAGGTTTTAACTGTTCTTGTCACAGGAAAGTAATAAGGTAAAGAAACAAAAGTTAATCTACTTCTCTATAATAACTATTTGCTATCTATCCCTCTCTCTCATATATACATGTATATATATATGTCTCATAACATTATGTTGTGAAGCTCAAATATATAAAATAAAATTTATTTTTCAATAGTATACTTATATATGCAAATATATACACAAATGTGTATTTGAAATACAAGAGAGTATGCTGAGTTAACATTTAGATACACAAGCCTGAAGGTCAGAAAAGAAACCAGGAATAGAAATGTAAGTTTAAGAGTCATGAACATGTACATAGCATAGTTGAAACATAGGAAGTGAATGAAAGTAAATGCAATAAAGAAGATATACAAAAGGTGAGCCCTGAGAATTTCCTCACAGGGTCATATAGACAGGCTTGAACATATCTTCCTTGTTAATTATCAATAATTTAAAGCTACAGTGTAGCTACAATTATCTTCTTTGGATGTTTCTCAACCATCTTTTGAATTAGATGTTTTAACCAAACACTGAAGGAACTGTGAATGATTTAATTTCTGTAATATTTCTATTTGCTCAATCCTTCTAATCTTATGTGCCTGTTTCAGTCTTTTTTTTTTTTTTTTTTGGTACCGAGGATTGAACTCGGGACCCTGAGCTTCCAAGGCAGGTGCCAGAACCACTGAGCTAAATCCCCGGCCCTGTTTCAGTCTTTTTTGTGTTACTATAACAGAATGCCACAGGCTGAGTAATTTATAAAGAAAAATTTGTATGTCCCAGTTATAGAAATTCCCATTTCAAGATGCTGGCATCTGGCAAGGGCTTCTTGCTATATCATTTTGTAGACAGCAAAGGTGAGGTGCGGGGGGGGGGCACTCACTTTTCTAACATGATCTTTCTTAGGAAAAGGATGCTCTTCCTGTATTAGCAACATTGATCTATTCATGAGGATACAGCCTCTGTCCACTTTTTAAACGTTTCAGTGCTGTTGCTTTGGGTATTAAATTTCCAGTGCATCAACTTTGAGGAGTGAATTCAAGCCAAAGCAAGTGAGACCATGTGGTGCAATCCTAGGTACTACATAAACGCTACAGAATTAAAATGCTATAAAGTTTCGTGGTAGACACTTAATAATAACAAAGTCATTTTATGTACCAGCAAGAACACTCTGAAAATTATCACTGAAGAGATTATTTCTCATTCATTTTCTTTTGCAGCACAAAGTGATATGAATGAGAAACAAAAATATTTCTTGAAACATAGACCCTCATATCCAAGTACTTTGACCACTTCTGACACTTTATGCAGCTTTGGTCACATTGTATAATCCTTTATAAAATGAGAATAATAATATTTTCTTTTTACATTTTGGAAGCGGTGAGACCTGACACAATATGTGCTGTCCTCAGCTCTCCCTGGGGAAGAACCATGGATAATGACAGAGGTGCTTGCAGGTCATTAGATGATGTCTCAATTGACCAGCTGTTGTTTTTAGCATGGTCCTGTGATTGGCTAAGAAAAGATAGCACATGACTGACTTCATATGAAGTTATGGTGATTATGTATCCCATTGCTGGTCAAACTGAAAGAGTTAAGAGCTGGGAGGAGGAGGGCAGGCGACTCTGCATGTGTTTCACCTGGTTTGAATCTCATAGGAAAGATTCCAGAGCTTTTATTCCAAGACGACTTGCAATAGCTGCTGGGAAAAGAAGCTGATGTTACCTAATGACAGAACCATTTCAAGATTACAAACTACATGGTATGAAAACAATGGTCAAAATAATGAATGCATGTTTTAAGATCTATTTGTTTTCCTTCTTTTTGCTCTATTATACTTTCTTATGATGAGATTTTTAAAAAAGTTTACTTCTCATGTTGTATTTAAACTCTGTGATGTTCAAATTTTATTCTTTCTGCATGAAACTTAAATGAATGCTTACATATTTCAATGTATTGTTAAGCAATGTACTTCCAGTCAATATAGAAATATCTTGGGAAGTTTATAATGACATTTGTTTTGTTTGAACAGTTAATCAATGTTCTTCAAAGTTTGTACCATCAGCTTCTGGAGATTCCTGAGATTCTCCTGGGTTGCTGAAACTATTTCATAATAATGCAAAAATATCATTTGCCATCCCACACTCTTAGCATTTGTACTGACAGAGCAAAAAAAAAAAGATGAGTATAACTGCTGATACCATAGTGTGAATTATAACAAATTGAGTATCAATTAGTGAGAGTAAGCTGCCAATCATCATTATATTTGCTGTTTCCGAGCAGGTACAAAAAAATAAAAAGAATTTCTATTTTACTTAGGACTGTCTTTGATGCAACAGTACAAATTGCTACTTTACTAAATCTTGAAATCTTGATCATTGAGAACAGATCTTTTTTAATGTGCTGGGTGACAAAATGAAAAGCACATGTAAACACTTCTACATACTGAAGTACAACAATTTATTGTCTTGAGAAAAGTTCTTAACATTTGAGTTGAAAAATAAAATAGCTATATAAATTTAGCATCATTTTTTCTTGAACAAATTCATCACAAATCATGGTTATTTTAGAACTAAGTTTTGGCAGTTTTTAAAATTTGCATTTATTTATTTATTCATTTTTATTAAGACATATTTGCACTACATAATGTTTACATTCCCTGTGTGGAGTTGATACATGTGCATAACACATCTTAATTTTTTTCAATCCCTTTCCTCCCCCCATCTCATGATCCCATTCTCCTTTGAAAAAGATCTATCTTCCTACTTCCTAGCTGCATCAAATGAAATTTCCAGTTTTAGTTTTTTGAGGAATCTCCATACTGATCTCCACAATGGTTGCACTACTTTACATCCCCACTAAACAAGATAGAAGAGCATCTTTTCCCTCCATAGCCTCACCAGCATTCATTATTATTTCATTACTTTCTTTATCTCTCTCTCTCTCTTCTTTCTTTCTTTTTTTTCTTTTCTTCTTTTTGAGACAGGGTCTCACTGTGTAGTCCAGGCAGGCCTTGACCTCACTATTAGCCCAGGCTGGCCTTGAACTCACAGTGATCCTCCTGCCTCAGCCTCCCTAGTGGTGGGATTGCAGGTGTATGCCACCATGCCTGGCCTTATTTGATTTCTTGATGAAGGCCATATTTCTGGGATAAGATAGAATCTCAGTGTTGGTTTAATTTGCATTTCTCCAATGGCCAGAGGTATTGACTATTTCTTCATGTATTTATAGTCATTTGTACTTCTTCAAAAGTGTCTATATTTAATTTGCCTGGTTTTTGATTGGATCTTATATTTTGAGAGTCTAATTTCTGTTTTAGTTCTTTGTATATTAGTCCATTGTCTAAGGAATAGTTGGCAATTTTTTTTTCCCATTCTGTAGTTTTCTTTTCACTCTGTTGGTTGTAAAAATTAATGAAGTGAGCCAGCCATTTGAAGGAATAAAATAAATAATTATTGTTAGTGATAAATGTCAGACTCTCAAGTAAAAATTAGAATTGTTAAAAGCTTGTATAATACCTTGTAAATTTGTCAGATTCCCGACACGTAAAGATTTTTCATAATGAGATTACAGTTTTATTATTATTGTAATGATAGAATGTATCAATATGTGGGAGATGTGCATGATTATGTGAACTAAGTGAATCGATACTTTATGAATACCCAGTGCATGACATAACCAGATTATGTATGGTAAAAGATCCGCTCAAGTATGACACAGACAAGTGGGTTTTAACATAACAGTGAAAAATGGCTGGGGAAGTAGTGCAGTGATAGAGGCCTTCCCTATAATGCACAAGGCCCTGGGTTCAATCTCTAGTAGACTCTCACCCACACACAAAACAGTAAAAAACAATTTCATTGATCTGACTTTAGATTCTATTCCTCATTCCAACTACATATCTGTGTGAAACAGAATTTTCTTAAAATCCATCAATTAAGACAACACATTGCACCGTAGTGAATTCTAAAAGAGATAGACATATGACACTATTGATAATTCTTTGGAAAATATAATCTCTAAAAATAAAAATATGACAGTTATGTAATTGTTTATTATGTCAAACAATTTAAATATGTATTTTAAATTTCCTTATTTAAATGTCTAATATGGTAAATACTAATAACTAACTCATATAAACCATAGCTCTTTTGGGTCCACAATAATTTTAGAAGTATGAAAGGGACTTGAAACCAAAACATGTGAGTAACTCTAACTTAATTCTTTACAAAAGAGAAGTCAGTGGTAACAGAAGTATTAAATGATTGAATATTAATTTATTAGAATTAAAACTAGATTAAATATACAGAAGCCCACAGAAATCTTACTTTTTTCATTCAGTAACTCAGTGCATTCCATATTGAACATCTAATAGCTGTGGAGGTCAGAAGCTTTAAAAAATGCTATGCTTATGTTATGGGTGGCATTTTCTTGTCTTAATTAATGCCTATCTCTTATAGACAGGTATTTAATATTTCAGTTTTTTCACAGTCATGTTGAGGATCTCTAACAGTACGTAATTGTTGATGATCAGAATTTTGATTCTAATAAAAATAGTCCTGTTCTTTTCCTTGATCCAATTATTAAAATAATGAAATTGCAATTACTTTAGAATAGCAAAAGGTATCAGAAATTATGTAGTCCAAGTTTTCTTTGGGAAGAGATGGAAACAGGATCAGAGGCAGAAAATGTTAATGTGGTATGTGGCTACTTCTGGATTCCTAGTCAAATTTTCTTTTAACTATCCTGATAATTTTCCCCTATAGATTTTCACTTTCTGTAACATATATAATCTTTTATCTTGAGGGGTAAACATTGAATTATTATTTTATAGCAATTTCATAGTCCTAATTTTTGAAATTTTTACCTACTCCTTCAGTCCACTAGGAGGGCCCTATTGTGTTAAGTTAATGTTTTGAGGTATTAAATTAAAGGTTGAAAAATTCAAAGCTGAAAGTCAAATTTGGAACCTTAGCTTAATTTTGTATTTCCCTAGTTGCTGATATAACTTATATTTTATATATGGAATGGAGGAGGGATGGATATAAACATATATCTACATTTATATGTAATATTTTAATATTATAATTTAATATAATATTATATCAAATATATTAACATAATAGTATAATAATTTAATGTAATATTACATATTTTATATATAGTGATTATTTGGATAATACTGCCCTTTGAACTAGTCCTGAGGAATTATAGAGTCCACCAAAAAAATGTTTACACACTTCAGCAGTTCACCACTATGAGCACCTCTTGTAATTGTAGAGATCAAAGGTAATTTGTATTAATCCCATGATAACTCAATAAATTTAGTATTAAAATAT